AGATTCTTGACAGTGCCCAGCATTTATTGATCAATTTAAGTCGGAAAACACAAGGAGTTAGTTTTATAATAAGTTAAAGGTAATGTTTGTTAATCTTAAAATGAAGAACATGAAATTTAGATTAATTACATGTTTGTTCTATATTCCTGCCAGCTATAGGATCATTTTTAACCAAACTGTGTCAGCAACTGGTACAAGGAAACTATTCTCTTAATTTTCAGTTTTTAAAAATTTAGATGAATGTTTCATGAATTTGAAATATGTCTTGGTAAGGTTCTAAATAGTTCTATAAGATGAATCTATGAAAAATATAGTAACATCAATATTTTAGTTTTTACACGTAAATGTTCTAAGAAATTTCCTTAAGCACGTCGAATAATGGTGCTAAATGAGTTTAAAAATCATAAGTGACTAGGTATTCTGGCTTTATATTTATTTTAACCCCAAAAAATGTAAACATTTACAATTATTTTAATTCTTTATATTGCTTTACTTTCACAATAACCATTTTGTACTTAATAATAAATATGCTTAGCTGGAGACTTCATTCAAGGTTATTAATTACTACAATGATGTCCTTAAACATAAAACAGCTGTAATTGATATAAAATCCACCAAAATTACCACCATTGAAATATTATTTACTTTCATTATGGTGAAGAAATTGTCGAAGAGAAGTTGATAGGAGATTGCAGTCGATGGAAGTACACAATATAATTTATTTTTGTGTACTTCCATTGACTGCAATCTCTAACAAACTTCTCTTCAACAATTATTTACTTTCTATGTGTTAAATTTTTTTTTCTACATGATGGTTACAGTCTATGTCAGTTTTATCATGTAACTTTACACACACAGGTTTAAAGAGATGGAAAGAATAACTCAAAAAGATTATATTAATGGCAATAAATACAACAGTTAGTATTTCACATCAAATGATTAATTTCCATTTCTTTCAGGATGTAAAATATATTATCATTACTATGAACTTACATATACTAAAAACTATATTTAAAATTGTTTAATATTTTCAAATTTAATGGATTGCATAATTTTACATAACTTAACAAATTTTTACCTGTTGATCATTTTGCATGTTAATTCAATCGTAATAGAAGTGCACTAAAAAATACCGAGTTAAATATAAAACATCATTTAAATTTATTATTCAACGTAAAATTACGAAAATTCGATCGAAGGTAACTTATGTATTATTTAACACAAAGTCTATTGAGGTAGTGGGGGAAAGGGCTGATATATCAGAACCGGGCAGTATACAGGCATTCAGTGTACTGGGACAGAATAGTGTAAGTACTTAGCTTGTATTCATTTATGTTCCTTAAAGGTATATATTATAAATCATAAAAATATAAAACTATCAAACAATATTTGAAACTTGAGGGATTTTGTTTTGATGCTTGTTACATTTGGTTATTCTTTACAACTTGGCAACACTGATACATAAAAAAAATTTTATCTCAAATAACAGCATTTATACTAACATTACCATTTAAAGTACAATTAATAGTACGATTGTATATCTGTAAGTAAATTTTTAGTGATGGTATTTTTTAATAGTAAAATTTAAAAAATGAACGTAATCGATAAAATGGTTCTTCTAATCACTCAAGAATTTAAATCAAATTTATTTATCAATCAAAAATTCTATTAGGTTTAGTTATTTATTTCGAAATATTTTTTAGTTTTCACCGATGTAGTTTAAGTAAGCATTTAAAAATCAAATATAATAAAATTAAGCCATTTAAAGCTGTTGTATATGAGCTAATCAGTGTTGCCAAGTTTTTTTTCATCCATTAAAAAATATATAAATAATAACCTATTATTTTTTAATGCTGTTGTACCAGTTTTTTCATGTTGAATGCTCTGTAGAATTACAAAAAATAAAATAAATAGTTTTCAGCTAGTTCTAGCTCATTCCAGAATAAAATTTTTATTTTTAAGTAATTTAAAGGTGGTTTTATACATTTCACAAACTATAGGAAACACAACTAACTTAACTAACGTAAACGTTATTGCTGAATCAAACTATTTATTTTATTTCTTTGGTACCGACAGCAGATGGAAAATATCAAAAACAAGAAACAAAAAATACTAGCATAGTAAAATAACCATTTATATATTTGTTTGTTGCATAGTTTGTGAAATGTCTAAAGGCACTTTTACATTCTGAATTTAGAGAGTCTTATAAGTGATATAATAAACAGAGAATAAGTTTAGGGTTATAAAAAATTGGGCAAACTACCTAAGTTTCAGCCCACTTTGTCGAATTTAAAACTTCAAAAATAGTCCGTGGCACAGAACCTTTTTTATCAAATTATGAACACCCGTCTAAAAATTCGTGAATGGCTTCATCTTGCCGTAACCTACACATTTTTTATCTATGAAACTTCTCAGAAATAATGCGTTTTATCATTAAATATATAAATTTAATGATATACTAAAAACTAAGTACCCATTTGCTTTCCATTTGAATCTTAAGATAATTTGATCACAAAATCGGGTAAAAAAAGTGGCCTATATAACCTCGTTGTTTTGACATGTTGGAAGTAGAGGTCACGCCAAACTGCCCAATATTTTTGTATTACACTATTTACTCGATTTTGTGATGAAATTATCTTACGATTCAAGTGGAATGAAAATGGGTATTTCTGAGTTTTTAGAGCCTAATTAAATAGACAAAGTTTGCCGATCACCAAATTTAAAACGTCCCAATTCCCAGAATTTTCGTAAATAAAAGTTGTAAGTTGAAATAAGATGAAGCTACTCAAAAATTTCTTGTTAACAATTTAATAAAGATGGGTCTGTACCACGGACTTAAATTAAGGAGCTTACTATAAAAAGTGGATATCTCCACTTCTGTTCGAAACGGAGATTTCCATGAAATATGGTGATTGTTCAAAACTTCTGTCCAAATGTTTGATTATTCTCTGATTAGGTTAATATTAGTTTTTCACTGTCACTTTATAAACAAAAGTGGACCGATCAGAATAGAAATGGTATAGATCCAGTTTGAAGATCTTAAAAACTGAGTATTTTAACTGAGTGTTAATTGGTTTGAGTCCGTTGATAGTCACTATATTAAGTTTACTTTTTATTCACATCGAATTGTGTTATTTTTTTGAACTCACAGCTATTTTTGGCTAAGCATGCAAAAAGTTGTAAATCAAGATAAAACATGATTCATCCATGAATGTGCAGTTTTGTGAATGTTATGAAACTTATTTATTTTTAGAACTAAAGAGCTAATCTTTAGAATTGAAAACAATTGAAACAAGTCCTGTTGAAATTTGTGGAATCGGTATAGTCGGTATAGTAATAATTGCACTTTCATGGAAGACCAAGGCTGCCTAACTGTTGCAAGACCAAGACCATCCCTGGTAAAAAAAATCGATTTTTGAATAAAAATTAAAGCAAAATATTTACTAATACTTGACAATCTTAGTTACTATATGTTTATAATTGGTATAACCAATATACTTTAGCATTTAACTCCTCTAATTTTTCATTCGGGCTTAGTTAGGTTTGTCCTGTCTAAAAAATTACAGTAATATCTCTACAGTAATAAGTTAATAAGTAATTGAAGGCCGTTGCGATACTCTTGAGCAAGACAAAGACCATGAACAAGACTGAGTTTGCAAGACAAAGACTCGTCTCGGTCTCGCATTTGGGAAACACTACTTTAGAAGATTTTCCTAAATCTGATGAAAAAACAAATTTTGGTTGTGTTAAAACAGAGAAAGTTAAGGTAAAATTAGAAAAAATCGTAGATCCAGGGATGTACATGCTCCCCGAGGTCGATGGCGCAAGAACCTACCCTCCTTCCCCCCCCTCCTCCCAAAATATTTTATTGCTTACATTTTCTTAAAAACAGAGCAATCTAAGGTAAAATAAGAAAATTGGTAGATCATATACCGCAGACTTACTGCGGTCTGCTCCATGTTTTCTCCTTGTTCCGAAATGTCATAACCCTGTCGAAATTTGCCGCCCTCAAAAATTCAAAAACCCGTCAAAATATGCCCCCCTGAAGAATGTTGATGGCGCAAATTGCGCTATGAAACTGTATTCTGGGCAACCATGTTTGAAACGCGGTTGAATCAATTCAATCTTATTGAAAACATTTAAAAATATAATTATTAGAAAGATTTTAATATCGATAAATGATTGAATGCTGGTAAGCACTGCCATGCAATTCGAATGATTCAAAACTGATAAACATAAAGTTGTCTAATTATAGAGTGCCATTCAATTGACCCGTGAAAAGAATTTCTTCTAAAATATTCAGTTCCATTAGCTGTTAAAATAATTAGAGATTTAAAATTCCACTATTTACTGATGAATAGTGGAATTACGAAAGTATATCATAGTATAGTCTATCTAACTCCTAAACGTAAGAAAATAAGCAACATGCCTATTTAGAATGAAATGAGAGAGTGCCTAGTAAACTTCTCCTCAGGCGCCTAAAACCTCTATTCAGAGTCATTCATTGTTGTGTAGAGGCTTCTAGATGGGTTGCTCCGAGCTACATGCCCAGCCCATCTTAATCTCCTTGCCGATCATCCCAAAGATTTTTCTCTAAAATCATATATTACTTATTTCTAGGGTGCTGGTTAGGTTTACTGTAACTAGTGTTGCTCAAATGCGAGACCGAGATGAGTCTTGGTCTTGCAAACTCAGTCTTGGTCATGGTCTTGGTCTTGAGCAAGAGTATCGCAACAGTCTTGCAGTTACTTATTAGTTTACTACAGTAGATATATTAATGTGATTTTTTAGATAGTAGAAACTTAACTATGCCCGAATGTAAAATTAGAGGAGTTAAGAGCAAAAGTTTATTGGTTATACCAATTATTAACATATAGTAACTAAGATTGTCAAGTATTAGTAACTAATTTGCCTTAATGTTTATTCAAAACATCGATTTTTACCAGTGCTAGTCTTGGTCTTGCAACAGTTAGGCGGCCTTGGTCTTGGTCTTGCATAGTGTAAGACCAAGACCCATTTTGGTCAACACTAACTGTAACTTATAAAACAAAACAAAGAGATGTTCAGTTTAGATAGGGAATTCCTAATGCTGTAAGTGATTGACGTTGAAAAGACTTCACGGCATGTTTATATAGTGTAAACACATATTTTAGATAATAATATCAATAAATTATTGTTTGCAGAAAGATGGCGAGCTATAAACTGACCTACTTCAACGTGACAGCCCTTGGCGAGCCAATCAGGTTCCTGCTCAGTTACCTAGGGCGAGAATTCGAGGACTATCGATTGTCTCAGGACCAATGGCCTTCGACCAAACCTAGTAATCGATTATTTAACTAACTACTAAACTAATAAAATAATAAAGTGTACCAACCTTCACTGAGGTCTCGTCTATCAAGCAGCGTTTACACAATTTAATATCACCAGAAACACAACATGATGAAAACACAAGAAACACGATTTATAAACATTTCTGTATTTTCAGAGAAATAATCACGGCAGATGTTGGGAATCACATTTGTCCTGACCAAATTTGAGGATCTAGGATTTAATATCGGGGGAGACATTTTTATTATTTACATGACAAGTCATTTTTATATTTTATAAAAATGTCATTTTTTTTATATTTTATAAAAATGTCATTTTTATATTTTATAAAAATGTCATTTTTATATTTTATAAAAATGTCATTTTTATTATTTAAATGACATCCATCACTCTTGAAGAAAATTAAAGAAATCATATAAAATAATAACTAAGTAGTTCTTGAAGGCCTATGAAAAAAAAAAAATAAAGTATATGCTTTAGACCACGATAGAAGTGAAAACATAAACAATGCGAGATTAATAATATGCAATATATATTATAAATAATAGCTCATTATAAAGAGGATGAAATGCTTCTGAGATATTTTAATCCATATCTTTAATAAAACTCGTTATCATTTGGTTTTCGAAACTATTTCTTTCCTTTTCACCTCTCTAACACCGTGTCGCCTTAAGATACAATTTTGAATAATAGCTCATTACAAAGAGGATGAACTGATGAACATTCTATCGGTAACAATATGTAGGTATGGTACAACTAATTCCACCATACAACAGGCACCATACAACTAATTCCATAAGAAATTAGACTATTCTCCAGATAAGAAGGTATGAAAATAAATGGTAGCGGATATAATATTTTAAAAAATAATTGAGAATAAATTATTTTATTCAATTATTAATTTTTGTACAATTCATATAGTTACGTTTTGTCAAATGATTTGATTTTCAATACTCTCTAAGAATTACATAAATTGAATCCTCAGTTTTCCTTTAATGAAAATAATTAAAAAATAAATACAATTAAAAACATATTTTCTTTCCGACTTTACTTGTTGGTCTAAACACATTTCCTTTTCTACTATTTCCTATGACAAAATTCTGGAGTCCTGCATAATTTTTTTAAGAATAATTAATTTTGTGCCCCAAGAATAACTTATTAAAAAATTAACATAATAAATTCTAATGTAATAGGATTTTCATGGGAGAGATCTTTTAATTTTTGAGATATTTTAATCCATGTACAAAAACACTTCAATTAGCCGACTTTACCCGAACGTTACACATCAGAGATCTGACGGTTGAATCTAATTCACTCTCTACAAAAAAAGTGCAATAAAAAAAAGGCCTGTTTACTGGAACAATAATACTTTTAGGCTTAAATTTTTTATATATTTTTCTCCTGCCTACATTTATTAGTTTAGATACATGAGATACATACATAATTTATTTTTGACATATTGTGCCATTTGCACATCCTCTGCAGAGCAAAATTTAATATATTAGAGATTAGTTGTCAGTTTTCTTGATTAAACACATTGATTACATACATAAAGTGTAATAATCTAATAACAGAACATATTTTGATTGCTCAAGTATTTAACCCAAAGCACACACACAAACCAATATGAACCAATGAAAAATAAAAAATTTTCAATTTTTTGGGGTGTTGGAGGGGATGCTTTAGCGCTAGAACGAGCGAAATCCCTAGCACTGATCTAAACTTCCTTTGATTTATTTCAAAAATATACAACAGATAGATCAGTGAAAAACAGGACATCAACATAGAGAAACACTCCATTTACACATTCATGTTTCTCGTAGTTTGTGAAATGTGTAAACGTACTTTAGTTGTTGGAGTTTCTGCATTATTGAATGAAGAAAAATGTTAATATAATAAACATGATTGTAGATATTTTATTATTAATAAAAATAAAAAACACAGGAATAAAAAAAATGGCGTAGAATAAATCGACTAACCACGTTTTCCATGTTATCATATATTGCAACTAGCAAGTTATTTACGCATGTTATCTAAACAGTTATTTATATTTCATCAATGTTCTTTTAAAAGGGCGATTCATCATAAGACTAATGTATATTTAACAACACATTTTTGTGATTTATGTTATCGCTATTGTTGTATAAAGTAATCTATAAGACGGGAGTTCAAATAATAAAATATCAGTTTCGTTGTTTTTACACATAACTATACCTGTTATTATGCGAACGAGGAAAGGATTAGGGCGCCTCCCCTTAAAGAAAAAAAAATTTGAAATTTCGAATAATTTTTATATCAAATATAGACTCAGTGCGTAAGGATGAAATGAAAAAATAATTTTATTCTGGGACTACTGTCCCCTAAGAATAATAACAGAGTTACAAATTTATGTATCTTAGTCTGACATGATAAAAATACCAACTAATTTACTGTTAATTGTTATTTCAATTGTGCAATGGATTGAAATTAAACATTGTATAGATGCAAGTAATTTTACATGTTAGGGGAAGTTTGAATGTGGAGTAGGTGTTGGAACAGGAGTTGTTTGAAGGAATTTGTGGATGAGGATTGACGCATGGGGGTAGGAAATGAGTTCAATAAGGAAGCAGCACGAATGACGAAGGATTTGCTGAAGGAGGAAGTTTTATGGGAGGGAATATATAAGTCTATAGGTTGAGACCTGGTATTGAGAGAGTGGATAGAGGAGCGCAGAGTAAGGAGTTCCAGGATATAGGGAGGATTTTTAGTTCTGAAGACTTGGAAAAGGAAAACGCCAAGAAGGAATTGTCGTCGGGAAGTAGGATAAAGCCACTTCAACTCGGTGTACCAGAGTGAAACATGTGAACGCCTGGGGATCCCGAAAATGAATCTTATGAAACAATTCATGAGTCTTTTTAGTCTCATTTCCAGCCTGGCAGATAGCCCTCCATACACCAAGCAGCCGTAGTCGAAGTGGGGGAATACAAGGGAGGTTACAAGGAGCTGTCTGGTTTTTAGAGGAATACAATCACGGAATCTTAGGAGTTGTTTAAGGGCAGTTATGGATTTTTGGGTAATCTGGGATATATGATTATCCCAGGAGAGGTTCTGGTCAAAGGTTACTCCTAGGTTTTTGACTGTAGGGAAAAAAATGGATGGGATGGTTATTGAGGTAAAGTAGAGGAAAGTAAGGAAAGGAGCTGATGAGATGTCTGGACCCGATGATAATAGCCTTGGTTTTATCTGCATTCAGCTTTAATTCATTTATTTCTGCCCATCTGTTGATGCAGTCGATGACCTCTTGTAGCTTCCGGGCAGCCTCAGGCATCTCAGAAGGTTGGAATGATTGGAAGGATCTGTGCTCCGATGCTCTTGGTCTCTAATTTGAATCCCACTGTTGTAGTTAATTATTTTTTCTCTTACATCAGTCATGGACTTTGAGATATGAATAGCTTTATGGGGCACACCCAGCCTCTATAAAGTGGGTAATCAAAATTTCAAAGCAATCAGTAAAGAACGTTTGAAGACGAGCGGTTTTGAACAAACTAACATTTACATTTTCATTTATATACACTGTTTACAATTTTTTTTTATAACACTAAAGCTCGTCAATAGATACTAAACGAAAAAATAAAAATGGTTGAGAAACAGATGAGAAAAATGGACTGAACTGTTTTCTCTTTGCCTATTTGTATTATGTTTTTAAAATATAGAGTAATTTAATTACAAGTTATTAAAATTGTTTTCATATAAAAGAATTTCAAATATACAATAATAAAAGTACTTTGTATTTTAATTACAAAATATAAATACACAATACTTAGGTTACATGAAGTGACAGGCACCATACAACTAATTCCATAAGAAATTGGCTATTCTCCAGATAAGAAGGTATGAAATTAAATGGTAGCGGATATAAATAATATTTTAAAAAATAATTGAGAATAAATTATTTTATTCAATTATTAATTTTTGTACAATTCATAAAGTTACGTTTTGTCAAATGATTTGATTTTCAATACTCTCTAAGAATTACATAAATTGAATCCTCAGTTTTCCTTTAATGAAAATAATTAAAAAATAAATACAATTAAAAACATATTTTCTTCCAGACTTTACTTGTTGGTCTAAACACATATTCTCTTCTACTATTTCCTATTACAAAATTCTGGAGTCCTGCATAATATTTTTAAGAATAATTAATTTTGTGGCCAAAGAAAATCTTATTAAAATTTAATATAATAAATTCTAATGTAATAAGATTTTCATGGGAGAGATTCTTGTGGAAACAATCACTAGCGGATCCAGGATTTAATTTTGGGGGGGGGCTTCAGCCCGAAAGTTTTTTTATCATGAAAATAACGATAATTACTTTGGAAAAAAAGAAAGAAACTAACTATCTATATGAAATGGTGTTTAAGTGATGGCAAGTTTTTTGTTTAGTTTGATAAAATATTTTAACTTCATATTTCTGAGATCAGAAAAACTTACTTCACTATTCGTTTGTTTTTTTTAAAGATGTCTTGGCTGTCAGACAATTGCCATTCGAATCTATCCACAGTGAACAAGCTGAAAGGAAAAACGCACAGATATTGTTTACGTCTGCTATTTTTACTTTAACTTACCGCACTAGCGGATTCAGGATTTAATATTGGGGGGGACTTCGGCCCGAAAGTTTTTTTTTCATATGTACAACGATAACTACCTATATGACATGGTGTTTAAGTGATTCTTAAAGTCCTCTTAAATGTAATTACACGAACAATAATACTTTAAGAGATAATTTTTTAGTATATTTTTCCATAAAGTTTTACCATTTTGAGGGGAGGGGTATTTTAGCATCTTGGAAATAAAATACAAATACCTTTTTTTTTGTATCTTAAAATATTTCATTTATCTTCTGGATGGAGTAGTGCCCCCCCCCCCTAAGGTCGACGGCGTATGAACCAACTCTTCAGAAATTGTATTGCTTTTCCTCTTTTTAAAAACAGTGCACGCCAAAGTAGAATTAGA